TTTCGTCTACATTATTATTACGATTTTTTTATTTGGTTAAAAAATACGCCATCTGCCTTCTCCATTGTCTTCCTTCTGTGTAAATATTTGCTAAGTCAACCTGACCTGATTATGACCACTACTTATGGATAATATTATACACACACACACACACACACACACAGTGTACGTAAAAACCCAAAAGAATATCGTACGTCAGGCAGCGATTTCAAGATGGCAACCCGGTACAGTAGTCTGAGGCGTCACTTGTCATCAGTAATCATTTCTTTTCCCAAACTTTTCATTCTTCTCAAACTCGACAAAAATCAATTTATAAAACCTCTTTGTAAATTGATAACCAATATGCAATTAATAACGAAGGATAAAGAGAATTAATCGATTTTACTTCAAGAGCAACAAGTTGACTCGAAGCCGCCAGAAAAAGGCATCATTTGCTCCCCCTCGTCAACACGTTGCCAATAGCTGCGACACAAAGAGGCCACCGACCGTCCGTCCCTCTGGTGACTCAAAACCAGCTTCCAGAGCCTCCAGAACACACACACCACAAGACCCTCCTCTAATTGGCTCACCTACCTGGAGGGGAAGACGCGACACTTTCCCTATTACCAGATAACAAAAAGGGAAAAGATAAAAAACATCAAATTAGCACTTGAGAAAATAATATTAGCCTGGGTAAAATTTTCACTCTTTATTTATCTTTTCATTTCATTCCCCTCTTGTACATCCTCTCCTCCTCTACCCCTCCATCCCTTCCTCTCCTCCTTTACCCCTCCATCCCTTCCTCTCCTCCTCTACCCCTCCATCCCTTCCCTCCTCACCCTCTACCCTCCATCCTTCCTCTCACCCTCTCTACCCCCTCCATCCTCTCCTCTCCTCACTCTACCCTCCATCCCTTCCTCCTCACCCTTCTACCCCTCCATCCCTTCCCCTCCTCACCCCTACCCCTCCATCCCTTCCCTCCTCACCCTCTACCCCCCCATCCCTTCCTCTCCTCACCCTTCTACCCCCATCCCATCCCTCTCACCCCTCTACACCGCTGTCCTCCCTCCCCCAAGCCCTTGACTTATGATTATTTGCATATCAGGAGGGGAAGGAGAGAGGGAGGGGACGGAGTGGCAGCCCAGCTAAATCGAGTGAAGCCGACCATTTGTTTCATCCGCGAGTTCCAATTAAAACATAATCTGTGTGGCAGGTTAGATAATACGGCCGTAGTTTACGAGGATAATTTGTACCGTACTGATATTATAATCGTGATTCTCTGCTGAACGTTGTCATAAGAAAACTAAACACGGTAATTTTATGTTGTTTGGGTGGGTTTTTTTTCTAGCAACAATGAACGTGATTTTGAGTTGGATTATATATAAACAGATATCCGTCGCCTGGTGATATTAGTATTCGATTACTTTGAAAATAATGGTAAAATATATATTACATTATTTATACGGTTTATACTCTCTAATACTGCGTAATTAATCAATATATAACACAAAGGCAAAACCAAAAAAGAATATCTCTATTAAAACAAGAAAAAAACTAAATGAGGCGCCGAGGAAAACAAAATATATCGAATTTTCCAGCATTATTAGTGAAACTCCAGGTACAAAGACGGAAAGATCATCACTACATCTTTGCTCATTTTCCGGCACTAACGAACGACAATACGAAAGGTAAATATTGGTGTAGATAAATCCCGCGAGGTAAATACAAACATTTCATTTGACCAGTACTAATGAATGTTACTGAGAAATATAAACACGGTTGACGTTTCTCACAGAAGAGGAATTGAGCAACCAGTCGTATTATCCAACACTAATGAACGACGGTGAGAAATATCGACAGAAAGTTTAGCCGTTCTGACTGTCAGTACTAATGAACGTGAAGATCAGAAGGACAAACAAGAAGTTAAACCATTAACATTTCAAGTTGATGACGAACGTAGTTAGGAAATGCCAAGTTGATTCAGCACAGGAACGAAAGACGAGTATTTTGTTGTTTTTTAAGGCAATAATGAACATAAAAACAAAAACAATTGATCCAGCTGAGAAAAGATGAGAATATATTTTTCCATGACAATAATAAACGTAAAATACTAGAAATAAAAGTTATTGACTAAATTGAAGAGAAAAAAAGCCACCATTTGTATTTTTAACCACTAATGAAGAATAAAAAATACAAAACAAACACAGATATAAGGCTACCAGTTGTATATTTCCAGCATAGATGAAGATAAATATAATATAGACAATGATAAATCTCACGTTGGCAACTTTCGGGGTGGCAGACCGAGGGTTCGAAAAGGCATACAAGAAAGGAATGGCGAGAGACGTACGCCACTTACCATCCTGTCACCCCTCTCCCTCCCCGCCACTTACCCTGCCACGCTCACACACTTTGCCTTCAATTACTCTTCCTAATTGATCCCCACGTTGACTGATGGAGCCTTCAAGCCCCTCATTAACACTTTTGCAGGGTTGATACTGGCGACGCAGAGGAGAAATTAATCAAGTTTGTAAGTTTTGATAATTGCTAAGTGGACTCAAGAGCCATCAGACGAGAACCCCAACTCTCTAGATCACCTCAAGCGTTCTTATCCCCCACAATTGAAGATAAAACGCCCTCTGAAGCGACTTTGATAAAATTATAAAAAAGATGGAGGAGAAATTATACTTTAAAAGCTGTTGTGAGTTATGTCTTTGTTAATTAATAATGTGAATGAAATGAACTAAAAATTCCATCGTTCACCTGTCACTCTTGTAAAGTGTTTTAATTTTATTTCTTTTTTCTGTTGTTAATGAACGCTGCTAAACACAAACACAAGTTCCCCGAGACAATAATCAACTTGTTTACTAATGCTAGACACAAACATTCTTTCCCGTCAATTATAATAATTTGTTAACGAATACAACTGGACACAAACAAACTTTTCCTGCCAAAATAATTTGTTTAAGAACGCTAACTGGACTGGACGTAAATATTTGCCGCCCAAAAACCGGCTGTTAACACTTGAAACCCCCAAACAAACAACAGAAACTTTAAAAAAAAAAAAAAAAAAAAAAAAAAAATATATATATATATATATATATATATATATATATATATATATATATATATATATATATATATATATATATATATATATATATATATATATATATATATATATATAATAATAATAATAATAATAATAATAATAATAATAAAATAAATAAAGATAAATATAAATAATTAAAACCCCAATAAATAAATATATAAATACATGTAGAATAAAAATACAAACTTGTTAACGAACGCTGACTGGAACGTAATTATTTCAGGTAGTTAGATGATAACAAGTGTAGTAGTAGTTGATATATATATATATATATATATATATATATATATATATATATATATATATATATATATATATATATATATATATATAAAACTTAATGTTTTATGTACCTACAACTAACTTTTGAGTCGAATGTTACTTTGTATTTACTGACTTTCTGCATAATAAAGTTCCTGTCCCATATTTTTCTCTCTCAATATCTCTCTCAATCCCTCTCTCCGTCTCTCTCTTTCTCAGTACCTCTCCCACCACCACCTTCAACACGATGGTCTGTTGGTAATCCATGACGGCCTACCACAGTAAGTTAAAAGCTCTCACATTTTTTTCGACTTTTCCAACCTTTTTTTTTTTGGCATAACTCTTTATCGTTAAGGAACACTATAGGAGGTGCGATGATTTAACCCTTTGATGACGATGACTTAACCCATTTATGACGATGATTTAACCCTTTGATGACGATGATTTAACCCTTTGATGACGATAATTTAACCCTTTTATGACGATGACTTAACCCTTTTATGACGATGATTTAACCCTTTGATGACGATAATTTAACCCTTTGATGACGATAATTTAACCCCTCAGGACTCAAAGGGTTAAACAAGATTTTTACTTGTTTTATATTTTCGACTTTTTTACTTTTTATTTTTTACTTTGTCGACTTTTTTTTTTTTTAACTATTTCACAATTTCACTTGGATAAAAATAATCCCTTACAGTCAGAAGCAACAATCAGGTGGCTGTCACTATCACGTAACTTGGGTCATTATCAAGGTCACTGGATCATACTGCTTGACCTTCCCTCGTCCCTAAAAGGTCAAAGGGGAGTTAGTGAAATATGGCGCTGATGACCGTAGAGTTTTATTTGTCTTTATTTCTTTACGTTCGATTTGAGGGTTAAAATTTGGGGCGTTTTTTTGCATTAATGAATAAAATAAGAGACGGGCGGACAGACAGACAGACAGAGAGACAGAGAGAGGTGATTGTTATTTCTTAGGTGTAATTCCATGGCTATCGTTTACTACTAGATATCGTAACACCTTAAACGATATTTGAAAGCTATCGTTAACTTGCTACACGTTATCCCAAGGCTATGGTGATGGTGGTGATTGATGATGATGATGATGGTTACAGTTATGGTGGTGATTGATAGTGATGGTGGTGATGATAAAGGTGATACTTAAAATAGGTTATATCAATTCAAGGATCATTAGCACAACTAATTACTTAAAACCACAGCCTTTAGACCCCACAACCGTCATTAGCAAGCTGATAAAAACTAAAGGAACACAAAGTAATTAGCGAGAAATTTGGATACAATATTTTCAAGGGTAATTATAAAAGCTAATGACCATAATTATATTTTTTGAGACCATATCCTTAATCACCAATAAAGGGGGAAAACTCTTAAGTCACAAACAAGGTACACCCTCAAGGTATAACTCGTCAAAATCTAGGTAAACCTCGAATAAATACGCCCTTGATGACTGACTTTCTAAGATAAATCCCAGGTGATCCTTGAGTAAACCCTTGAAGGAACACCCTCGATGTACCTCAAGGAATAATCCGGGTGGTCCTCGAGAGAATATTACTAGGTATTAGGTGTTGTCATGTGTCACTTAAGTCGGGGGAGAAGGGGGAAGAGGTGGAGGAGGGAGGGGGAGAAAGGAGGGGATGGGAGGAGGGAGGAGGGAAAGGGGAGGGAAGGGAAGGATGGAAGAGGGGGGAGAAGGGAGGGGGAGAGGAGGAAAGAATGAGGAGGGAATGGAGGAGAGGAAAGGTTAGGGGTGAGAGGATGGAAGAGGGGAGAAGGGAGGGGGAGAAGGAAAAGGTGAGGAGGGGAGGAGAGGAAGAAAGTAAGAGAAGAGAGTAGAGGGAAAGAACGAGTGAGAGATTAGTCTCCTCCCCCCCCCCCTCACCGCGGTCTCTCCAGATAATCCTCTTCTCGGTCTTTCCATCTACTTCCTTGATTTATCTACTCTCTACCTCTTCCAGTGTTCATCTACCTCTCCTACCCGCCTTTTCTCCCTGCGTTTCTGTCTATATGCTTTCTCCCTCTTTTCCTTCTTTTCTCTCTCTTTTTCTCTTTCGCCAATATTTTATTTTCCAATTCTCTTCTCACTTCTCGCCTTCTGTTCTCGTTCCCTCTCCTCCCTCGTCATTCTCTTCCTATCTTCCTCTCTCCTCCCTCTCTCCTCCCTCTATCATCATCCCTCCCTCGTCATTCTCTCCCTATCCTCCCTCCCCTCAACTAGGGTATTAAAGGGATGATATAGATCCCATGAGACAACTCCCTATTACCACCACAACTACCACCATTACTACTACCATTATCAGTACCATAACTACCATCATAACCATAACTACTACCATTATTACCACCACAACTACCACCATCACTACTACTACTACCAGCTCCTTCAGAAAACCAACATTGCTATCTTCATCACTAATACCTCAAACCACTACCATCCACCACTCACACCACACCATCACCACCCCACCATCACCACCCCACCATCACCACCCCCATCACCACCCACCATCACCACCCATCACCCACACCATCACCACCCACCATCACCACCCCACCATCACCCACCCCCACCCCAAGATGCCTCTACCCAGGGATAATAATGTAATAATACCAATTTCTGCTTATAAGAGAGAGAGAGAGAGAGAGAGAGAGAGAGAGAGAGAGATGGGGATGTGGATAATAAACCAATTTCCACCAATCTAACAAATACCAGGAAAAGACGAGAGAATAAATGGAGGGAATAGGGACAAAGCTAAGAATAAGTTCACCCAAGGAGAATAGAGAATTATGATGAATATTTCCCTATCTCTCTCTCTCTCCTATGTCTCATAAAAGGAATAAATGTGAGAATTGAAAATAGGTGATTAATAAACGAGGAGAGAGAGAGAGAGAGAGAGAGAGAGAGAGAGAGAGAGCCACAACCACTAAATACACCATCTACCTTTAACCACTATGGAGGGAGAGGGGAGAAGGGGGATGGGAGAGGGGTTAAATCCACCATTAACCTTTCAGTACAAAGTAATCCCATAGTGACGTCATTATTTCCTTATTAATCCTACCCTCTTTAAAAATCCATTAAGGTTTTTTTAGGAGGTGGATAAGTGGTAATTACTTTAAAGAGGTTGTACTTATTTTAAGGGCGAGTTGTAAATATCTAAGGATTTTAATGTACTACTTTAGGATTTTGTACCTAATTTAAGGATTTTAAGATAGACAAACACATCACATTATCACACACCCATAAAATTACCTCAGATTAAAAAAAAAAAAAAAACACCTTTCTTAACTCTGCCCTTAAAAAATTCATTAATACGTAGTAAAAACTTTCTCTTCATTAAACACCATCTCGGGAAAGATGGTCCTAGGCACAGTACCAATAGAAGTGAATATGGGTATGTCATCCTACGTGGCACTCGACCTTACTGTGGGAGGGGGGGGCATGATGGCACCGTGATCCATTAAGCTCTGGGAAATAGGTGAGATGAAGTCATTAATATCCATAACAGGTGATGATTAATTACCTCGCTCCTTTTGAGAGAGAGAGAGAGAGAGAGAGAGAGAGAGATAATGGCGGTGAAAGACAAGAGAAGACAGGACTATTGTTTCAAAGATATTGTTATCCTCCTTGCTGGTGTGGAAGAGCATTGTAAACTCGTGTGCGTCGTCGTGTTTGTAGCGTCCGTAGACATACATACATACATACATACATACATATATACATACATACATATTATCTTTCCATTCATTTATTTGGCATTTAACTAGATATATGATCATCACTTTGTTTTAATTTTTTTTACAACGTGGTGTTTACATGTGCTGATTGATGCATGTTGAATATTAAACTACGGCATAATATAATAAACCCTTTTATATATGACCTATTTGACACTAATATGGTAATAAATAACACTACAAAACAACAACCACAATCACAACTTTCAACAACAACCACAATCTAAATTACCAACAATCACAATCATCAACAAACACAGCCACAACTACCAACCACAATCATAACTACCAACAAGCACAATCACCATCAACAACAACTACTATCACAACTACCAACAACCACTATCATAAATACTGAGGAAAATCAAACTAGCTAACAAGATTCTACACACAAGCAATCATCT